TCTGCCTACAACTTACAGCATTAGCACTATGTCATGCATTAGTCCCCAGGCCCCTTCTGACAATCTCTCCCCAGCCTCAGTGTTTCCCCATCTTGATAGTGAACTCTAGAGGATAAGAGGTCAGTTTTCCTTCTTGATAACCTGAATAGAGTTGTGTTGACATTGTGTTGACACTCAAGAAATGTACTCATTGACTGACCAGGTCATTTCAAAGTAATTGTCAAGAGGTTCAAAAGGTATGACTCTTAACAGTGAAAACATAAATCTATTTGATAAGATTTTCTCACTTTTAAGCTGTCAGAAGATTTCTGCCTGGGCAAGATGGTTGGACTAGACACCTGCTAAGCTCCTACCACTTGAAGATTGCCGAGTCTTAGGGAATGAGACTCCTGCTAGTGCTTCGCATGTACTCATGGAGCCCTTCCCATGTACCGGGCACTGGACCAGCAGCATTCCTGAATATCTCCTTTGATTTTTGCGACAGTCCTTTGAGATAGATCCCACTATCCTCATATTACAGGTGAAGACATAGCACCGAGGCTGAGGAACTGACCCAGGATTGCCAAAGACTTTTATAACCCTTAAACGCGGTGCCATTATCACAGCAAAAAGAGTAACAGTTTCTCCTAATGTCAAATATCCAACAGTATGCAAAGTTCCCTGATTGTTTTACATATTTTCTTTTCTACTGGAGGTCTGCGAATAACACGCTTTTTTTTTTCCAAGAGCAAATTTTGCCCTATTTCCAAAAGTCTCAGAACAAATGGATTGTGAACGTGGCAATATGGAAATTGCTATAGGTAACATTGTGTTAGAATTTCATCTATACCCAATGAAGCTGAACTAAATGAAGACACCTTGCTGTCTTTAAAATGAAAACCACAGGCCGGTGTGTTGCCTCACACCTGTAATCCCAGCACTTTGGGAGACCAAGACAGGAGGACCACTCAAGCCCAGGAGTCCAGGATCAGCCAGGGCAACATTACAAAACTCTGACTCTACAAAAAATAAAAAATTAGCTGGACATGGTGGCACACCTCAGCCTCCTGAGTCCCAGCTACTGGGAGGCTGAAGTGGGAGGATCACCTGAGCCTGGGGAGGTTGAGGCTGTAGTGAGCCATGATTATGTCACTGCACTGCAGCCTGGGTGACAGAGTGAGAGCCTGTCTCAAAAAAAATAACAATAAAAAACCACAGTGCATTATTGCTTAAAAAGGGGGGGTTTGGGCCAGGCGCGGTGGCTCACGCCTGTAATCCCAGCACTTTGGGAGGCCGAGGCAGGTGGATCACGAGGTCAAGAGATGGAGACCATCCTGTTCAACATGGTGAAACCCCGTCTCTACTAAAAATACAAAAAATTGGCTGGGCATGGTGGCGCATGCCTGTAATCCCAGCTACCCAGGAGGCTGAGGCAGGAGAATTGCCTGAACCCAGGAGGCGGAGGTTGCAGTGAGCCAAGATCGCGCCATTGCACTCCAGCCTGGGTAACAAGAGCGGAACTCCGTCTCAAAAAAAAAAAAAAGAGGGGAGGTTTGTATTCCTTGCAAAATAAAAACACTTTTTAAAAAAGATCTCAAAGTCCCCAAACCAGAGATGAAATTATTTGGAAATGAAGAAAGGAGCTGGGGAAAACTGCCCGCCTCAGGTAACACAGCTAGAGTGTTTTGCACCAGAATGCATTCCCAACTCAGCAGCGATACCAGCGACAAGCTGTATTTTTAAGATCACATTGAAAAAGCAAATCATATTAAAAATAACGTGGGTTTTATTTTTGTTTTTAATAAGCAGAGTGAAGTTTAGCAAAAGGAGTTACTTCCACAAGATGACATAGTCAGGAGGCAGACATTGACTTGGAGTTTAGGGCTTCTTACAGGGTATGTGACATTTGGTGAGAAAACATGAAATCTTATGCTCTGATTTTCATGTTTAGCATTGGGTTAGGAGCACAGTTTGGCATCTTCTTTTGTCATAGCTAGTGAAAGAATATTCTTTTGATTAATCTGGGTGAGACAGAGACTCTCAGACTCCTTGAGTAAAAAATTCCAGGAAGGAATCAATCAGTCAATTAATAAAAATCCAAGAGCTATAGGTTTTATTTTTTCTCCATGAATGTGGGTGAAGTAAGTAGTTTAGTTAAGAAAGCATGTAAGAACTTATGCCTCTTAGCAAGCAGATGCCACTATGAATATTGCCAGGGTAACACATTATTAAATAAGATCATTTGTATTTACAAACTTTTCAAAGGCTGGAAGTTAATTTTCAAGGCAATAGCAACACAGTATGAGGTTGTGATCTTACAGGACTCCTGTTGGAAGTAACGTTTGCGTGAGTGGATGTGTGATGCAAGATGAGAGGTCTTGATGAGCTTGCTTTCACTGAGCGAGAAAAAGCTGCAGTTTCAAGGCTGAATACTGTAAGTTGCAGTGGGGAAGAAAAAATAATGCCTGAGATGCTGACACTTAACGAAAAGTAAAGGGCAGAAAGGGAATTTCAACTGGTAGAGTTTAGGTCACATTATATAGAGTTGCTATGTATGTGTTATTTTGAGCAGAATTTGGAGGAAAATGCTAACTAACTTATTTACATTTTGTGTTTGTTTCTAATCCCTGTACAGAAAATGAGTAGAAATAGGAAGAATCCCAAGAAACATTTACTATAGTATTAGAATCATTCCTCTCTTAATTTAGAAGACAGAATAACATAAACAGCAACTACAATAAAAGGCACCAATTCCCAAGTATCTGGAATCCAGTTCTCTATAGGTCTCATTTGTCCAAGTCTTAAGTGAGGGCCTATATAGTTTCTTCATTATCATTATTCTATTGCTGCCTCCTACTTTTGAACAGACTTTGTTTTCTAAAGTAGTTTCTGAAAACAACCTTAGACTTCACCAAGTCTCCTTCTCTGAGGATTAAGAACCTGGGGCCTGTGGAATGGAGTAAGGCGGGGAGCAGCTGCTCTGCACCTGTGTGCCTGCTCGTGCACCTGGGAGCTCATGTGTACACCTGGGAGTTTCCTGAGGGCCAAGTGGTGGCCCTTATGGGCTTCTCCTTACATTTTTCTGTCTCATTCCCAGAAGGATGTAGAGAAATGTCTGTTTAGCAGCTCTAAACAATAAATTCGCTTTTGTAAGGAGATTTTTTTTCTCTAAAGTTGGGCATGAATTGGCGGGTTAGAGGGGGCTTGTGTATATAGATGATGGGATTTATAAGAAGTGGGGGGGGGATTAGGAGGTTTTTTTCTTCCATGAGTGTTAGAGAACTGCATTCCCAAAGGCTGAGGGGTGATTGAGTCCCTGGCATGTACATGTACAAATCAGTTTATAAGGGTTAGATGTGAATGTTTCTATTTTTATAATCCTCCAGATTACTCAGTAAGCAGCGAGCATCTAAAAGAGATTTGCAAAGTGGTTTGTTTGTTAACTCTAGAAGGATCTCACTTCTGTCAATCAGTGCCTTGGTTTTTTTCTGTTTTAAACTTTTTGTTCAAAAGAGAATGACATTTTTCTTCAGCCACAGATGAGCTGTTGGCTGGCATGGGTTAGGATAGGAGAACGTAGCTGTGGCTTGACCTGGTGATGAAATCAAACGTGTGCCAGCAGACTAAACAGTGGTTGTAGGTAGGTTACGACGGGCAGCCTGGCAATAATGTGGGAGTGTGTGCTTACTGTATGTGACTGCATGGGGAAAGCAAGCCCCACTCACAGTATGTCCAATTTCCAGCTCTTTGGTGCTTAGGATGATGCTCCAGACTCCAGCTCCTGTCTCTTTGTGTTCTTTGCGTGCTGTACTTATGGTGCTGCTTCATGGTCATCCCTGATAGGGAGGTGGAGAGGCTGCTGGTTTTATGCTAAGGTGGTCTCTGACTTTCAGGCTACGTTTGCGAGAGGAAGGATTTGCTGGTGAACGGCTGCTGTAACGTGAACGTCCCCAGCACAAAGCAGTACTGCTGTGATGGCTGCTGGCCCAACGGCTGCTGCAGCGCTTACGAGTACTGTGTCTCCTGCTGCCTGCAGCCCAACAAGGTATGGGGAGTTGCTCCTGGCTCCACAGCTCCTTTTTCCTTTTGGCTTTTATTTTGTGATGAGCATTAGGCTCTTCCTGTGAGGTTCTTCTGAAAATAAAACTTAGAAAGGAACTTTGTAGGTGTCAGAAATTGCTGCACAATAGCTTTTATCTGACAGGAAAGGAGGTGGTTCCCAGTTGCTTGAATGGTTCTTTGGCAGAATGGACCATTGTATTACTAATCACATATCTAATGAATAAGATACCCTGGGTGCTGTGGCCTGCACGTGTGTGCACGCGTGTATCCCTTCCCCTCCCTCTTTTTTTCTTTCTCTTTCCTCCCTCTCCCTATATCAGCATTCTCTTAGTTTAGGAGAGATAGCCAAGGTCACCTTGTGCTGGCTTAGGTAATTTATGACAGGCACTAACTTTTGTTTCCATAGCAACTTCTCCTGGAGCGCTTCCTCAACCGGGCAGCTGTGGCATTCCAGAACCTCTTCATGGCAGTCGAAGATCACTTTGAGTTGTGCCTGGCCAAATGCAGGACCTCATCCCAGGTCAGAAGCTGTGATGTCTCTAGCTGTAGGATGGCAGCGGACAGGTTAGAAGAAAACCAGAAAATACACACTGAGATCCTTTTGCTGGGGTGGTAATGGAGAAGAGACTCAAATGAAGCCATGTCACGCTTTGTTTGGTGTAATGATAGTATTTAAAATGTCAACGTGAGATTTATACAAGTTAGGGGAAGTGAAGCATTTATATGAAATCAGGGTCTAATCAACTTGCATCTCTCCTATCTGGTGGGTACATTTGCTCTTTAAATGGAAGCTTAAAATTATTTTTAAGCCTGGTAGAGTCCTAATAGTCCAGCTCCCAAGAGAAGGTCCTCCTCCCCGTCTTTGAAATTTGACCAAGGCTTTCCAGTAACCACTCGTTTAGAGTAAGTAGCAATTTGTTCTGGGATGGAGTCATTGTTTATTTTAGGATTCAAGGGGATGAGGCAGGTGAATGTTTAAAAATACATGAATAAATCTGTAGGCTGTCAGGCTCTCAATACGAATTAGCGTGCTGTCATTAAATGCTTCGCTCTTTGGGCATTAAATATTATTGCACCTGCTGCCGAAAGCATCTGAAAGTCTTTTGCCTTTTCATCACTGTCTCCTTGGCTCTCAGCTATTGTGATTGGGCAGTTGTGGAGCTCTCTTTGTAAAATCACCAGACGTGTTTATTATAGCGCACACTTCTTCTGGCTCCTATTCATGGTGTCGCTAAGATTTTACTGGCTTCGTCTGAGATAATGGACTCATTTGTCATTCTCCAAAGCTCTTGTACCCTTTGCCAGATTTCTGTAGTCCACCTTTTGATTTTATGTCCCTTCTCATGTCTCTGGTTTGTTCTGCGAGCATTCAGTATCATTGGGTAAATGTTTCAGGGATTATAATGAGCATTTGAAAACATTAAGAAATTCCTGATGGTCTTGTTTTGCTTGAAGAGCTTTCCACTTGAATGAGCTTTAAAAGAAATGAGGAGGAAGGCTGAACACATGACTCATTTTGATTCAGATTCTCTCTCATTCTGAGAAACGCTAGAAAAGGCGAAGTATTTTCTTTCCTTCACTGATAAAACCCAAGAATTATTTCCAGTCTTCAGCGAAGCTCCTGTACTTTCGGACCTGGTCTTTTCACCATAAAAAGATTTCCCAGTTGCCATTTGATTTGTTTTGATAAAAGTATCCCAAGAAAGAGAAGATTTGGCTATATGTCTGTTAAATTGGATGAATATTTACAAGTTTGTTGCTTAGCATTGGTCTTGGACTAATTAATGAATTCCAGACTAGCCAAAAGCTCAAGTTGCTTGTATGAAAACAAATTGCTGAAAAATCAGCCATCAGGAATGATTGTCTGCTTTAACTCACACTTCCAATTTGCTTAGCCAAATGAGGCTTGCATCGTATTGTAGGTTTTGGCTCATGCACCAAATTTTTAGGTACATCAGCTTTATGAAAGCAATTTAAAGTGCATCTCCTTAGTGTTTCTGCCGGGTTCCTTACCAGGAACTGAATGTCTGAAGCACAGGATCAGGCACAAAACACCCATCGGGATCTTAGTCTGTTTCAGGTAATCTGAGAAAAAGTAGTTGTCTCAAGTAGCCAGGCCACAGCCAAGTTATTTAAAAAACTCACTAGTATACATAAAAAGAAACAACCCCACAGTGCTGTTATGTCCATGTTCATGTAGTTCGTTGGCATTCTGGGTTGAACATTCTTCTTTGTTCCAGAAAGTGCCTTGGAGCCTTTAGTGACATTTGGAGATGGACTGGGCCAGCCTCCTGCAGGGAGAGTCTGACAGTCCTGATCGACTCTCACTCTTCCGAGAGGGAGGTAGATGAAGCTGTGCTCGCTCTCACTACGCACTTATCTTCCTTTTGCCAACAGAGCGTGCAGCATGAGAACACCTACCGGGATCCTATAGCAAAGTATTGCTATGGAGAAAGCCCGCCCGAGCTCTTCCCCGCATGACGGGTGCAGCGGACTTGGTCCAGCCCGGGTGAGGAGGCCCTGCTGAAGAACTCGCCTCCTGGGGCCCAGCTTTGGCAATTGGGACCAGGCTGTGGGAAGAAGACAAAGGCAGGGCGAGGAAACCTTGGCTTTGACCACGTCTCGTGTTGTCATCCTTGGCTTTGCTTACCACCGGGCTTACCAGATGGAACTCTTCTGCATAGCAGCTTGGACCCTCCAGCCCGTCCCGTTTGGGAAAGATGAAACCACAGGCTGGGCTCGTGGTGGTGTCGGAGTTCTTGGGTGACTCAGCCCTGGGACCTGCACAGGGACCTGTGACTTGTGTTCGTCAAGGGCCGGTGTCACCTCCAGTTTCGATCCAGGCCCTTTCACTGTAAAATTATTTATTGGATTCCTTTGGAGCAATGGGAAAATTCTAATGTTTTATGTAGGAAGATGCCTTGCCATTCTAGTGGAATATGTTCAAGGAAATTATTTTTGTTGTTGGTCTATGTTCTCAGCTTTCAGGATTTAAATCATTCTTTCACCCAGATAAAGCATTTTGTCTTTTAGGACATGGGTGTTTTCTCTAGGCAGTTATTTTTGTTTGTATTTTGACAGTATCAAGCATAGGCCCTGAACATGACCTGTTAGCCATATCCTAACGTCTAAAATTATCTGAAAACTCACTCTTCCTTTCTAATCTAACTGCAGGATTTCTAGCAGTGGGTACTGTGTGCCTGCCCTCAGGTTCTTTTCTAGTGGCAGTTGAATGTGCTCATATACCCTATGGAGAGCACTGTTTTAGCAGAAATCTAATTTCTTATCCTGGAGGAATTTGTTCTCATTTCTTTTGCCATTTAAAATTAACTGTGGGCTGCTCAGGGGGAGCCTCAGGAGGGTCAGAGGCTCCTCCTCCCGTTCTGTCAATAGAAACCTAGTGTTGAGGCAATCCCTAAACAGACTCACCTCGCAGCTGTGTGTTTATTCTTTATTGCTTTCAGCTTCGGGGTGTAACAGGTACAAATGTTTGGTTTCCCTATGATCTGTAAAGAAGAAGAAACTCAACTTCCTATCAGAGCACTGCAAGAGAAGAGCACTGCCCTCAGTGGGAGATGAGGGTCATTCTGACTTAGAGAATGCCGCACATGTGGGTTGCTGGTGCGTCCTGAATCCACCGGCGTAAAGCACTCCCCATTTTTCCTACTGTAACACAGATTCTCCAGCTCAAGGTCTAGAATATTTGATCCTAAGATCAAGACATCATGCTCTTTGAATAGTACTGCTCTTTGACTTCTGGAGTCATATTAACATACAACTCTCCTTTATTCCTTCACAAACCTCAGGATTGAGCAAGGGCTTTGTAATGTTTTTTGGTTCAAATTATTGACCTGGGAGCAAGGTGCTAATTCTATGGCCAGTATTCAACGTTTTCCTCAGTGGAGCTTTTGCTTTGGGCCGTATTCGCCATCCAGTACGTTTCTGCAATATGTAGTGGTGGTTTTCCTTAACTTCCTCCTAAAATTATTTGCCTCCTTTAAATAGGTTTTCTTAGAGGGTACGCTGGTCAGGCAGTTTTTAAAATATTAGATCCCAAGAAATCTATTCCATTTGCNGGAGGTTGCAGTGAGCCAAGATCGCGCCATTGCACTCCAGCCTGGGTAACAAGAGCGGAACTCCGTCTCAAAAAAAAAAAAAAGAGGGGAGGTTTGTATTCCTTGCAAAATAAAAACACTTTTTAAAAAAGATCTCAAAGTCCCCAAACCAGAGATGAAATTATTTGGAAATGAAGAAAGGAGCTGGGGAAAACTGCCCGCCTCAGGTAACACAGCTAGAGTGTTTTGCACCAGAATGCATTCCCAACTCAGCAGCGATACCAGCGACAAGCTGTATTTTTAAGATCACATTGAAAAAGCAAATCATATTAAAAATAACGTGGGTTTTATTTTTGTTTTTAATAAGCAGAGTGAAGTTTAGCAAAAGGAGTTACTTCCACAAGATGACATAGTCAGGAGGCAGACATTGACTTGGAGTTTAGGGCTTCTTACAGGGTATGTGACATTTGGTGAGAAAACATGAAATCTTATGCTCTGATTTTCATGTTTAGCATTGGGTTAGGAGCACAGTTTGGCATCTTCTTTTGTCATAGCTAGTGAAAGAATATTCTTTTGATTAATCTGGGTGAGACAGAGACTCTCAGACTCCTTGAGTAAAAAATTCCAGGAAGGAATCAATCAGTCAATTAATAAAAATCCAAGAGCTATAGGTTTTATTTTTTCTCCATGAATGTGGGTGAAGTAAGTAGTTTAGTTAAGAAAGCATGTAAGAACTTATGCCTCTTAGCAAGCAGATGCCACTATGAATATTGCCAGGGTAACACATTATTAAATAAGATCATTTGTATTTACAAACTTTTCAAAGGCTGGAAGTTAATTTTCAAGGCAATAGCAACACAGTATGAGGTTGTGATCTTACAGGACTCCTGTTGGAAGTAACGTTTGCGTGAGTGGATGTGTGATGCAAGATGAGAGGTCTTGATGAGCTTGCTTTCACTGAGCGAGAAAAAGCTGCAGTTTCAAGGCTGAATACTGTAAGTTGCAGTGGGGAAGAAAAAATAATGCCTGAGATGCTGACACTTAACGAAAAGTAAAGGGCAGAAAGGGAATTTCAACTGGTAGAGTTTAGGTCACATTATATAGAGTTGCTATGTATGTGTTATTTTGAGCAGAATTTGGAGGAAAATGCTAACTAACTTATTTACATTTTGTGTTTGTTTCTAATCCCTGTACAGAAAATGAGTAGAAATAGGAAGAATCCCAAGAAACATTTACTATAGTATTAGAATCATTCCTCTCTTAATTTAGAAGACAGAATAACATAAACAGCAACTACAATAAAAGGCACCAATTCCCAAGTATCTGGAATCCAGTTCTCTATAGGTCTCATTTGTCCAAGTCTTAAGTGAGGGCCTATATAGTTTCTTCATTATCATTATTCTATTGCTGCCTCCTACTTTTGAACAGACTTTGTTTTCTAAAGTAGTTTCTGAAAACAACCTTAGACTTCACCAAGTCTCCTTCTCTGAGGATTAAGAACCTGGGGCCTGTGGAATGGAGTAAGGCGGGGAGCAGCTGCTCTGCACCTGTGTGCCTGCTCGTGCACCTGGGAGCTCATGTGTACACCTGGGAGTTTCCTGAGGGCCAAGTGGTGGCCCTTATGGGCTTCTCCTTACATTTTTCTGTCTCATTCCCAGAAGGATGTAGAGAAATGTCTGTTTAGCAGCTCTAAACAATAAATTCGCTTTTGTAAGGAGATTTTTTTTCTCTAAAGTTGGGCATGAATTGGCGGGTTAGAGGGGGCTTGTGTATATAGATGATGGGATTTATAAGAAGTGGGGGGGGGATTAGGAGGTTTTTTTCTTCCATGAGTGTTAGAGAACTGCATTCCCAAAGGCTGAGGGGTGATTGAGTCCCTGGCATGTACATGTACAAATCAGTTTATAAGGGTTAGATGTGAATGTTTCTATTTTTATAATCCTCCAGATTACTCAGTAAGCAGCGAGCATCTAAAAGAGATTTGCAAAGTGGTTTGTTTGTTAACTCTAGAAGGATCTCACTTCTGTCAATCAGTGCCTTGGTTTTTTTCTGTTTTAAACTTTTTGTTCAAAAGAGAATGACATTTTTCTTCAGCCACAGATGAGCTGTTGGCTGGCATGGGTTAGGATAGGAGAACGTAGCTGTGGCTTGACCTGGTGATGAAATCAAACGTGTGCCAGCAGACTAAACAGTGGTTGTAGGTAGGTTACGACGGGCAGCCTGGCAATAATGTGGGAGTGTGTGCTTACTGTATGTGACTGCATGGGGAAAGCAAGCCCCACTCACAGTATGTCCAATTTCCAGCTCTTTGGTGCTTAGGATGATGCTCCAGACTCCAGCTCCTGTCTCTTTGTGTTCTTTGCGTGCTGTACTTATGGTGCTGCTTCATGGTCATCCCTGATAGGGAGGTGGAGAGGCTGCTGGTTTTATGCTAAGGTGGTCTCTGACTTTCAGGCTACGTTTGCGAGAGGAAGGATTTGCTGGTGAACGGCTGCTGTAACGTGAACGTCCCCAGCACAAAGCAGTACTGCTGTGATGGCTGCTGGCCCAACGGCTGCTGCAGCGCTTACGAGTACTGTGTCTCCTGCTGCCTGCAGCCCAACAAGGTATGGGGAGTTGCTCCTGGCTCCACAGCTCCTTTTTCCTTTTGGCTTTTATTTTGTGATGAGCATTAGGCTCTTCCTGTGAGGTTCTTCTGAAAATAAAACTTAGAAAGGAACTTTGTAGGTGTCAGAAATTGCTGCACAATAGCTTTTATCTGACAGGAAAGGAGGTGGTTCCCAGTTGCTTGAATGGTTCTTTGGCAGAATGGACCATTGTATTACTAATCACATATCTAATGAATAAGATACCCTGGGTGCTGTGGCCTGCACGTGTGTGCACGCGTGTATCCCTTCCCCTCCCTCTTTTTTTCTTTCTCTTTCCTCCCTCTCCCTATATCAGCATTCTCTTAGTTTAGGAGAGATAGCCAAGGTCACCTTGTGCTGGCTTAGGTAATTTATGACAGGCACTAACTTTTGTTTCCATAGCAACTTCTCCTGGAGCGCTTCCTCAACCGGGCAGCTGTGGCATTCCAGAACCTCTTCATGGCAGTCGAAGATCACTTTGAGTTGTGCCTGGCCAAATGCAGGACCTCATCCCAGGTCAGAAGCTGTGATGTCTCTAGCTGTAGGATGGCAGCGGACAGGTTAGAAGAAAACCAGAAAATACACACTGAGATCCTTTTGCTGGGGTGGTAATGGAGAAGAGACTCAAATGAAGCCATGTCACGCTTTGTTTGGTGTAATGATAGTATTTAAAATGTCAACGTGAGATTTATACAAGTTAGGGGAAGTGAAGCATTTATATGAAATCAGGGTCTAATCAACTTGCATCTCTCCTATCTGGTGGGTACATTTGCTCTTTAAATGGAAGCTTAAAATTATTTTTAAGCCTGGTAGAGTCCTAATAGTCCAGCTCCCAAGAGAAGGTCCTCCTCCCCGTCTTTGAAATTTGACCAAGGCTTTCCAGTAACCACTCGTTTAGAGTAAGTAGCAATTTGTTCTGGGATGGAGTCATTGTTTATTTTAGGATTCAAGGGGATGAGGCAGGTGAATGTTTAAAAATACATGAATAAATCTGTAGGCTGTCAGGCTCTCAATACGAATTAGCGTGCTGTCATTAAATGCTTCGCTCTTTGGGCATTAAATATTATTGCACCTGCTGCCGAAAGCATCTGAAAGTCTTTTGCCTTTTCATCACTGTCTCCTTGGCTCTCAGCTATTGTGATTGGGCAGTTGTGGAGCTCTCTTTGTAAAATCACCAGACGTGTTTATTATAGCGCACACTTCTTCTGGCTCCTATTCATGGTGTCGCTAAGATTTTACTGGCTTCGTCTGAGATAATGGACTCATTTGTCATTCTCCAAAGCTCTTGTACCCTTTGCCAGATTTCTGTAGTCCACCTTTTGATTTTATGTCCCTTCTCATGTCTCTGGTTTGTTCTGCGAGCATTCAGTATCATTGGGTAAATGTTTCAGGGATTATAATGAGCATTTGAAAACATTAAGAAATTCCTGATGGTCTTGTTTTGCTTGAAGAGCTTTCCACTTGAATGAGCTTTAAAAGAAATGAGGAGGAAGGCTGAACACATGACTCATTTTGATTCAGATTCTCTCTCATTCTGAGAAACGCTAGAAAAGGCGAAGTATTTTCTTTCCTTCACTGATAAAACCCAAGAATTATTTCCAGTCTTCAGCGAAGCTCCTGTACTTTCGGACCTGGTCTTTTCACCATAAAAAGATTTCCCAGTTGCCATTTGATTTGTTTTGATAAAAGTATCCCAAGAAAGAGAAGATTTGGCTATATGTCTGTTAAATTGGATGAATATTTACAAGTTTGTTGCTTAGCATTGGTCTTGGACTAATTAATGAATTCCAGACTAGCCAAAAGCTCAAGTTGCTTGTATGAAAACAAATTGCTGAAAAATCAGCCATCAGGAATGATTGTCTGCTTTAACTCACACTTCCAATTTGCTTAGCCAAATGAGGCTTGCATCGTATTGTAGGTTTTGGCTCATGCACCAAATTTTTAGGTACATCAGCTTTATGAAAGCAATTTAAAGTGCATCTCCTTAGTGTTTCTGCCGGGTTCCTTACCAGGAACTGAATGTCTGAAGCACAGGATCAGGCACAAAACACCCATCGGGATCTTAGTCTGTTTCAGGTAATCTGAGAAAAAGTAGTTGTCTCAAGTAGCCAGGCCACAGCCAAGTTATTTAAAAAACTCACTAGTATACATAAAAAGAAACAACCCCACAGTGCTGTTATGTCCATGTTCATGTAGTTCGTTGGCATTCTGGGTTGAACATTCTTCTTTGTTCCAGAAAGTGCCTTGGAGCCTTTAGTGACATTTGGAGATGGACTGGGCCAGCCTCCTGCAGGGAGAGTCTGACAGTCCTGATCGACTCTCACTCTTCCGAGAGGGAGGTAGATGAAGCTGTGCTCGCTCTCACTACGCACTTATCTTCCTTTTGCCAACAGAGCGTGCAGCATGAGAACACCTACCGGGATCCTATAGCAAAGTATTGCTATGGAGAAAGCCCGCCCGAGCTCTTCCCCGCATGACGGGTGCAGCGGACTTGGTCCAGCCCGGGTGAGGAGGCCCTGCTGAAGAACTCGCCTCCTGGGGCCCAGCTTTGGCAATTGGGACCAGGCTGTGGGAAGAAGACAAAGGCAGGGCGAGGAAACCTTGGCTTTGACCACGTCTCGTGTTGTCATCCTTGGCTTTGCTTACCACCGGGCTTACCAGATGGAACTCTTCTGCATAGCAGCTTGGACCCTCCAGCCCGTCCCGTTTGGGAAAGATGAAACCACAGGCTGGGCTCGTGGTGGTGTCGGAGTTCTTGGGTGACTCAGCCCTGGGACCTGCACAGGGACCTGTGACTTGTGTTCGTCAAGGGCCGGTGTCACCTCCAGTTTCGATCCAGGCCCTTTCACTGTAAAATTATTTATTGGATTCCTTTGGAGCAATGGGAAAATTCTAATGTTTTATGTAGGAAGATGCCTTGCCATTCTAGTGGAATATGTTCAAGGAAATTATTTTTGTTGTTGGTCTATGTTCTCAGCTTTCAGGATTTAAATCATTCTTTCACCCAGATAAAGCATTTTGTCTTTTAGGACATGGGTGTTTTCTCTAGGCAGTTATTTTTGTTTGTATTTTGACAGTATCAAGCATAGGCCCTGAACATGACCTGTTAGCCATATCCTAACGTCTAAAATTATCTGAAAACTCACTCTTCCTTTCTAATCTAACTGCAGGATTTCTAGCAGTGGGTACTGTGTGCCTGCCCTCAGGTTCTTTTCTAGTGGCAGTTGAATGTGCTCATATACCCTATGGAGAGCACTGTTTTAGCAGAAATCTAATTTCTTATCCTGGAGGAATTTGTTCTCATTTCTTTTGCCATTTAAAATTAACTGTGGGCTGCTCAGGGGGAGCCTCAGGAGGGTCAGAGGCTCCTCCTCCCGTTCTGTCAATAGAAACCTAGTGTTGAGGCAATCCCTAAACAGACTCACCTCGCAGCTGTGTGTTTATTCTTTATTGCTTTCAGCTTCGGGGTGTAACAGGTACAAATGTTTGGTTTCCCTATGATCTGTAAAGAAGAAGAAACTCAACTTCCTATCAGAGCACTGCAAGAGAAGAGCACTGCCCTCAGTGGGAGATGAGGGTCATTCTGACTTAGAGAATGCCGCACATGTGGGTTGCTGGTGCGTCCTGAATCCACCGGCGTAAAGCACTCCCCATTTTTCCTACTGTAACACAGATTCTCCAGCTCAAGGTCTAGAATATTTGATCCTAAGATCAAGACATCATGCTCTTTGAATAGTACTGCTCTTTGACTTCTGGAGTCATATTAACATACAACTCTCCTTTATTCCTTCACAAACCTCAGGATTGAGCAAGGGCTTTGTAATGTTTTTTGGTTCAAATTATTGACCTGGGAGCAAGGTGCTAATTCTATGGCCAGTATTCAACGTTTTCCTCAGTGGAGCTTTTGCTTTGGGCCGTATTCGCCATCCAGTACGTTTCTGCAATATGTAGTGGTGGTTTTCCTTAACTTCCTCCCAAAATTATTTGCCTCCTTTAAATAGGTTTTCTTAGAGGGTACGCTGGTCAGGCAGTTTTTAAAATATTAGATCCCAAGAAATCTATTCCATTTGCATTGGACTTTTCAGAGTCCAGCAGGACTAAATCAAACTCTGACGTGACAGGATTGTGGCTTATCTACATATTTCATCCATCCACTTTTTCTGGTAACTCAGTTTGAAATTTCAGTGTCTGTCTTCCCTTGGTTGACATTGGTATCAGCCTCTCCTTTGAGCTTATTTTAACTCTTGAGCAACATCATGTAGATTTCATATGAACAGTTTATACTAAAGGGCAGCCTGTGCCTATTTACAGATCCTCCCTGACTTTGTACTTGAAGAGTGCATTTTACATTTCCAGCACTTTCACAAACAGGAACTCCAACCTTATGACGGAGAATTAAGCTTTCTTGTATTTCCACTTTGTGGATGAGGAAATAGTGAGAGGTAAAGTGACTTCCCGGGTCTCCACTGAGATTTAGTGACAGATCCCAAACAAGAACTTCGTCTCTGACTCTAGGTCCAGTCCTCTTCCCACTGTCTCTTGCCAGCTCCGTCCTGACTCACCATGGGCATCTCCCCTGGGAGCAGATATGTTTCAATTGTCCAGGCCAAAAGAGGGATGAGGTGGTATAAACACCCAAATTAGGGGGAGGATCCAACGGTCATTTTCATCTGGCTGTGGAATATGTTTTTGTACTTCAGTCAGCTACGGGTATGTTCACTGTTTTTGGAAATTCACAGCGCTTGAGCCTCTATAATGAAGCCGGGCTGCAGAGCACCTGGCACGTGCTCCAGGCTCCCTGCTCCCAGCCTAGGACCCTTCCCTGCCCTCCACTCTGGTTTGTTTCTGATTCCCTCGACCGAGGGTTTCTAGAATCAGGGACCTTGTCTAAGTTTTGTTTGCCCAGAGCCCAACAAAGTGTGAAATAACACGTTGGGAGTTTAGAAGATCACAAAAGGGATGAAAACACCTTTAGAAAAAAATGTTATTGGCCTGGTGCAGTGGCTCACGCCTGTAATCCCAGCACTTTGGGAGGCTGAGGCGGGCGGATCACCTGAAGGTAGGAGTTCAAGACCAGCCTGACCAATATGGTGAAACCCCGTCTCTACTAAAAATACAAAAACTAGCCGGGTGTGGGGGTGCGCGCCTGTAGTTGGGAGACTCCGTCTCAAAAAAAGGAAAAAAAAAAAAAGAAAAATGTTATTAATAAGTGAGTGTTTTAGGCTGAAGGGAATTGAGTCATACAGCACATCTCCCCCAGTTCTGCATCTTATTTGCTGTGCTTCTTGCTGGAGTTGTAAAGATTGGTCCTAATGGAAAGAAACACACAAGAGACTGTGAAGAGGGCTCTGAGAACGGCAAGGACAAAGGAGGGAGCGAAACACCTTACATGGGGCCTGGGACCTGGCCATGCTAGAGCTGCTTTTTTTTTGAGATGGAGTCTCGTTCTGTCGCCCAGGCTGGAGTGCAGTGGCACAATCTCGGCTCACTGCAACCTCCACCTCCTGGGTTCAAGCGATTCTCCTGCCTCAGCCTCCCAAATAGCTGGGATCACAGGCATGCACCACCACACCCAGCTAAGGTTTTGTATTTTTAGTAGAGACAGGGTTTCACCATGTTGGCCAGGCTGGTCACAGACTCCTGACCTCAGGTGATGTGCCTACGTCAGCCTCCCAAAGTTCCAGGATTATAGGCGTGAGCCACCGCACCCAGCCTGGAGCTGTTACTGATGGGTGAACTCCACAGCTTTTGCAGAGGATAGGACTTGAGAGCAGTGCTGTCACCTCTCAGCATGTCCCCAAGCCTGACTGGGGCCTCCTGGAGACGCCTCAGTTGGCATTTGCCCCACGGGAACTGTGGGGAGCAGTTGCACAATTTGTAACTTTCTGAGTGCAGCTTTTCCGATCCCTTGGGATCTGCAGATAAATTGTAAATGCAGGGAGGTACTGCTTGTTGAATATACTTTT